CCCTGAATTAATGCCTGGCCCAGCTTAAACTGTTGTGGGTATCAGGGGAGTGAGCCAGTAGGTGGATCTCTCAGTCACTTAGTCTTTCAAATTTGTATACAAAACTAAAAAAAAAAAGTTTTCCTTGTATTTTACACCTGACTTAAGGGCAGCTAAGACAAAATTGTACAAAATTCTCAGTGAGCACATAAAATCTAAGAGATGAGAAGCGCTGAGCAACACTGTTTTAAGTCCATGTGGGAATGCAAGTACGCCCAGAGTGACTTGGTGACTGCAGCTACATTAATATCTTCACAACCCAGGGCAGAACAGTAAGACTGAGGGTGCCAAGCAGAAAGAGGCCTTCCCTAAACTCTTCTGCCGACCGACGAAGGAGGACACAAGGCAATCAGGACATGTTTTCCCCCCCTTTTCTGTTAATACCAAGAAAATTTATTAATGGCTGTGGCTGGAGGCAAGCATGGAGAGCTCTGTGCATTAGGTGGCTGCCCTCCTTTGCAAAGTGAACAGAAGAGGCAGCCTGTGGAGCAGCAGAGATGAAAGAAGCCGAACAGCCCCAGGCTGCAGCTTCCACCAAACGGAGAAAGAGGAGGAGGAGTCGGGGCAAAGGGCCAGCCAAATCCAATCAAACCTGGGAGCCGGGGCCCTCACCCAGCGAGCACCCAGGGCCAGATGTGAGCTTGCAGCTCCAGCAGGCTGCTCCTATCAGAAAGGCAGTGTGGAGTGCGAGGTCCTGCAGAGAGGAGAGAAGGAGAATGTTCCTTTGCAGAGTTTTGGCGTCCATCTACCAGGATTAATGTCAGAAATCTTAGGCATGAAACAGCCAATGGCTCAAAAGCTTAGTTTCTATTCCAGTGATGGCAAGGGGTGGGGGAGGTCATGAACTGGGTGTTTTCATGTTCATAATCCTCATTTTCTTCTTCACAGAGACCATATCTGGTCATTTGAATACATGGACACTCAAAACAGAGTCCCAGCCTGGGCCTTGAGGTGCACTAGGTTAAGCTGCTGCTTGGGACAGCAATATCCCATGTCTCCCAGCTATTCCACTTCTGATCCAGTACCATCCTAGTGTGCAACCAGACGATGGGCCAGGAAGTTGAGTTCCTGCCAACCACATAAGAGACCAGGATAAAATTCTGAGGTCTTGGTTTCAGCTCGCTCCAGCTGAAGTTGTCAGAAGAATGTAGGGGTGGGGTTGTGAACCAATGGATGAAAAGATCTTTCTCTCTTCTTCATATCAATCGAAAACAAGAATGCGAGGCCCAGGGTTAGGCAGTTGGTATCAGGGAGGGAGAGATTCCACCCTAGGCTGATGTGCTCCTGAATCCCGGGCCGTCCCACACAGCTAAATCTGCACCTGCAGTGTCTGTCTATATACATTCAGAACAAGGGGCATGCCTTGGTACACCGTTGGGAGCCAGGCCACCCCTCAGGGAAGTTTACCAGGTATCAAGGGGTTCTAAGATGAAGACAGGTACAAATTGTCTTTCAGATTTACATATCAACCAACAGATCCAACCATCCCCAAGTTGTATGAGGTAGGTAAAGCTGCCCTCCATCTGTTCCGAGACCAGTGGCTGTGCAATTCTGCTCTGTGCACTGCAGATGCCTCTTGGAATTTTTTTCCCCCAGCTCAAGCTTGATTGGTGAATGGAAGGTTGGGGAGGGAAAGAGGGAGAAAAGGAAAACTGGAAGATGACTTTCTTGAAAATGAGATGTTACTTAAAAGTGTATGTCAAAGCCAGGGAGACCACAGCACCAAGGCAGGCAGTAGGAGGTGCACCCTGAGTCACCTTTGCCCTGGCCACTCTGGCTGTACTGGGCCCCTTCCCCCTCCTCTCCCCAAACATGGGTTTGCCCCCTGCTGAAGCTCAGCCTGGGTCTGTTGTTCAGAACCGAAGTGTCCTCCTGGCTGCTGAAACTGCTAAAATATGAAAATCACCTCTAGCAGTCTAAACAGCATTCAAAATAAATACTGCAAATGGCTGAAACAACCAATTATGTTAAGTACCCGTGCCTGGTATAATTCAAACCAAATCTTACCCTATTAGCCTCAAAACCAAGAGTGTGGTTCCTCTTCCCCGTGATCCAAAACCCAAACAAAGGTACCACATCCACCCCAGGAAGAGACCTTGACCACTTGCAGTTAATTCCAGCAATTGGTTTTAGGCTAGGGAAAAAAAAAAAAAAAAACATGCACCGCATGTCCACTCAACAGCTCATTAGCCCAACCACCAGTGTATGACATCAGCCGGTTCCTCTTATAATTATTACGTCACTTTAGTTTCAAAGTCCCATTATTTTCTCTTAGGACGGCCCCCACCTTGCAGGGACTAAGCTCATGGTAGGAACTTCTCTGCTCCCATCCTCCTCTACACAATGTGACACTACCTACCATAGACTCACAGCCTAATCCTCAGCAGGGCTCCTCCAGCCCCTGTGCAGCCCAGCGGGGCCAGTCCTAGGGGTTACCTAGCCTGGAGCCCCCTGGTAAGGCTGGCTTCTGCAGGCTGGTCCCCAGGCCCCTGACACTCTTAAGAGGCTCCTGGCTCACCCCTCATGACCAAGCTGCACTCCCTCCCATTTCTAGGAGTGAGTGTTCTTTGACGATGGGCACGCTGGTCCTGCTTGGCCTCAACTCTGATCCCTGTGGTTGGAAATTGTTAACAGAATTCTTGCCTGGTCTGATTACCTAGCAACATGTTCTCCCACTTGCTATAAGGAAAGAGCAGATATACACATTGTCAAGTATAAAGGTGAGATCGTTTATGTACTGCAGGTGCGTTTTCTTCCACGTGATCCTCTCAGTTCCCCCTTCTGCGCATGCTCACAGCTTTACTGTTAAAACCTGTGCTGGCAGCAGTGACCCAATATCAATTGGGAAGGACACTCAAAAAGTTAAAAAACAGAAACCACGCTATCACAATAGGAACGTCTCAAGGACGCTACAGGCAGCACTAGCAAGGAAACAACCAAACCAGCAAGTCTCTGCTCACACGCCCAAGCCCTCACCAAGGCGCTTCTTAAAGGTATAAGAATTGAACAGATTGTATTAACCGCGTCTGTGTTAATCTAACTCTCAGTGCCTGGAACCATCTGGGGACTTTTGGACTCCACCAGGAAGAGAATGCGCTAACGCCACTCAGCTTCACAAACTTTATCAGTATTACCCACGTGTTTTTTGTCCCACAGGAAGAAACAAAAAACTGACATATGAAGAGCAAATCTTGCCTAACATGAAACTGAATGAGTAAAAAACCCCATAAGAAAAGGCGCAAAGCCAAAGGCTCGGCTCTCAGAAGGCTCTGAAGAGGAGCGCTTTTCCCAGCACGGCGGTGGCTCTCACGGAGACATAAAGACGCACGTGACTTTGAAATTCACATGGAAGAAACACAAAGGCGGCTGGTAATCAGTTCCCACTTAACATGATCTAAAGGGAGAACTAACATGGACTTTTTAAATTACATATTAATTTTTGAGAGCGGAGAGAGTCACCTGTATGTATCAAAATTATTAGCCAAATCTACCTGCCTTTTTACTTGTACCAAGCAAAAATGCCAAGAATTTCTTAGTTCTCAATATCACGGGTTATTTAAAAGGACAGCATGCAATGCCATTGGCTATGAAACAACAAAAAGGTGACGGCCTGGGCCCATGCAGTAGCCTAGTGGCTAAAATCCTCGCCTTGCATGCACCAGGATCCCATATGGGTACAATTTGGATCCCAGCAGCCCCACTTCCCATCCAGCTCCCTGCTTGTGACCTAGGAAAGCAATCAGGTACAATCAGGTACAACCCAAAGCCTTGGAATCCTGCACCTATGTGGGAGACCCAGAGAAGGCTCCTGGCTTTGGATTAGCACAGCTCCGGCTATTGCAGCCACTTGGCATGAATCAGCGGATGGAAGATCTTCCTCTCTCTGTCTCTCTCCTTCTTTCTGTATATTTGACTTTCCAATAAAAATAAATAAATCTTTTTTTAAAAAAAAAAGATGACGGCCTCTCTCAGGCCTATTGGAGCTACTATGGAATTGAAGGGTTTCTATCCTTTATCACATTCACACTACCACTTCACACCCAGGGCTGGCCTTCAGCGTGGGCCTCGAGGGCAAAGCGGCATCTGCTATAACCCACCCAAAAGGTCCCAGTCATGTACCATCAGCCCAACACCATCCTATAGCCCTGCTGGAAACCAAATCTACCTGCTTCTTTCCAGCTGTGCCAACCAGAACTCTTGGAAAACTGAGAAAGTTGGCAGAAAACATCAAGATTCTTGCGAGTCAGCTTAGCCATACAGCAAGTCTCCATCACATCACTAACTAGGCTGTAATTTCTAAAAGTATCTAAAATGTGACCTTTTGCTAGTATTAACCATTTATCCTTTTTTGAAAATTCTGGTGACTTCCAACAACACTGCTTAGTCAAAGGACAGAGAAATCACAGCTACATTCCTTGAGCACAACATCTGGGTCCTAGCACATGGCTGCAGATGGGTTGGGAGCCAGGAAAGGGGTCCATTGGCATGTGACACTGGTGGGAGACAAGCGGGGGGAAACCATATTTCACACTGAAGACAAACCAAAGGCTCCTGGCACCTGCGCATGTTGCAGGGCAGCAAGGAACAGACATACCTTCAGAACCGCCCCCTCACCATCCCTGTCGGGATTTATAAAGAGGGTTGTGCTTATGAGCCCCGTAGAAGAACTGCTGCACCCAACTGCCCCATGAATCCGATTGCACCAAAGCAAGCCAAACCCTTTGTGACCGCGCAGACCACCCGCGTAGGACATCCCACGATGCCTGGTTTCGGATGTGCCAATCACAACAACAAAGCAAGAGGCTTGAATAAGCGGAAAGAAATGGACGAACCCACTCAGGCCACACACTCACAGCCCTCTGCGAGCTGCCACACCGACACAGGACACAGGACAGGACGCTTCTGGCTGTCACAGGGCACGGAGGAATCAGAGTGAGGAAGAGGCGCTCCCGGCGACCTACCTTGTAGAAGGGCCCCGTTTCTCTTGAAGAAGGTGCTGCCTGGCCAGAGCGGCGGACCTGATGTGCTGCAAGAGAACAGACACTCATGAAGCCGGTGGCACAAGCTCCGCTGCACTCCCTCCCCCGGCCTGCCGCGCCAGGCCCAAACCCTCCTCGCCCTGGCAAGGTAGGCACTGCCCCAGCCACGCGTGACTGCGGAAAGTGCACCTTAAAAGCCCTACGGTCTGCTCTGTTGTGCAAGGCTCCATGTTTCAGGGTGCAGGGCCAGTCCATGTGAATACCTTGATGGGTATCTTGGATCTCCACGCCCTCAGATACACAAACTGCCAATGTTTATGCAGCTCATTGGCCCAGCTCAGGGAGGAGGGATATGTACTACCTCGCTCAAAATGGCACAAACTTCTGTAGCGTATGTCTCCCGAAGCTGAGCAAGTTCTTGGGCACTTTTTGGAGGCCTCTTAGTGTTTCTAATTCCAGTGTGCAGGTGCTGGTGCTGTGGCATAGCGTGACAAACCACACTCTGCAGTGTCAGCACCCCACACAGGTGCTGGTTCTAGTCTTGACTGCTCAATTTCTGAGCAAGCTCCCTGTTAATGTGCCTGCAAAAGCCACAGAGGCTGACCCAAGTGCATTGGCCCCTACCATGTGGGAAATCTGGAAGAAGCTCCTGGCTCCTCTCTGTGGACCAGCCCAGCCGTGGCCACTGCAGGCATGTGGGGAGTGAACTGGTGGTTAGAACACCTCTCACTATCTCTTTGTAACTTTGCCTTTCAAATAAATAGTAAACAAAGCAACAGCAATAATAAAAAAAAAAAGCCAGTTTGCCTTTCTTGACCATCGCTATCATCAATTCCTTCCTATGCAGAAATGACCTGGATCTGCCGCCACCCTACCTCTCTTCTCTTGGTTTCCATCCTTTTTCAATTTTTTGGCTGAAAATGTTGCACCCTACCCCACCCCCATTTGCATTTGGCAGATAAGCAACCAGCCAGGCTAGTAACAGGAGAGGCGAGAAAACAAGAGGGGTTGACATTACACAGCAGCACTTTGCTGCCCTACAGAGGAGCAAGTTTGCTGCATTCAGACACTCAGTAGAAAACTTGACAAGCAAGCCAGTCTTCGCAAAGCAGCCTTGGATTTGAAAAGTAGGTTATTTTAAATCAAGGGTTGCTTCTGATTCATGTTAGAAAGTAGTTACTCAAAAATGTTACTATATCCAGCCCAAGAGGCACTACAAATTATTTTCACCAAAATAGGACATGAGTAAATCATATTAGTTAGCGCATTATCCAACGTCTTGGACACGGCAGCAGCTGAAAATTACTCTCAGGGATACATCTGGGAGATTGGCACAAACACTCAGAGAAAGGCGGAGGGCTGGAACGTGAACGCTCCACCAGTCGGCAGAGCCCTCCAGCTGTAAAGGACAGTATTCCACGGCTGGTAACAAGCCATGGCCAAGCCAACGACATCCTGCCACCCGAGTTTCATTACCAGAAGGAGAAATGGTATAACGGCAAGTATCATGGCATACTGCACGATCGAGGTGGAGTAGTGAGAGCGAAAAAGCCACTCCCTGAAAACACCATTCAACATCGGTTTGTCTTATGGTGCTCCATGGTTTCTGTGTTTCTGAAGGGCTGCGCAGTCCCTGCTGGCCAAGGCTGCCATCACCAGTCTTCCAACAGCTCAGATGATCAGCAGCAGTTTTTTTTCTGGCCATAAAGTCTTTTTAAATCAAGGTTATAAGTTAGTTAAAGATTTTTTTATTTTATTGGAAAGGCAGATTTAGAGAGTAGAGAGAGAAATATCTTCCATTGACTGATTCACTCCCCAAGTGGCTGCAATGGCCAGAGCTGAGCTGATCCAAAGCCAGGAACCAAGAGCTTCTTCCTGGTCTCCCATGCAGAAACAGGGGTCCTAAGACTTTGGGCCACCCTCAACTGCTTTCTCAGGTCACAAGCAGGGAGCTGGATGGGAAGTGGAGCAGCCTGGATTCAAATCAGCATGCACATGGGATCCTGGTGCATGCAAGGCGAGGATTCAGCCACTAGGCTATTGTACCATGTCCTTGTATGTTAGCATTTACTTGGCCATAATGTTATCACACATTTAACAGACTACAGTGGAAGCAAATGTAACTTTTATATAAATTAGGGGGGAAAAAAATCATGTGACTTACTTCACTGCAATACTCGTTTTTGTTTTACGGGGTTTGTTTATTTATTTATTTATTTGGATCAGAGTGAGGCCAGACTGGCAGTATCTCAGACAGATGCCTGTGGTAGGAACCTTGAAGTTAATGAACCTTTCTGTGGCGTTTTGGTTTGGATCCATTATGCACAAAGTCAACAAGAATAGTGTGGCTCGGCTACAGCGTCAGCTGGCATTGCTGGTGCTCAGCGTTGGCAGCTATGTGCCCCGCCCCCAGCACCCAGGACAACGGAGGACTTGGCCCTCAGACAGCACAACGGCCACAGCAGCCTGGCATCTCTTCCGGCTGGCTCCATTTGGGAGTCCAAAGGCCCAGACATGCATGCGGAATACTGCACATTTAAAAAAAAAAAAAACTTGAGATTCTCTTTGAACAACTCCAGCAACCTCCCAGGACTTTCCCACCTTATTCTTATAACAAAGCAGCCAAACAGCAAGCTGGCTGTTGCCAATAGAAACTCACCTGATTTATAAAGATATTTAAAAACTGAGGACTTCATTATAGAGGAGCTGGCCCTTCCAGAGAATTCAATAATTGAGTCTTACTGTAGGAGCCTGAATATCCAGCTTACTTCCAGCCAAATCCCTTCTTTATCCTGACCTTGATTTGGCTGAAAACTGAGCAGACACGAGGGACGGAGCCCAAGCGGTCAGATACAGCCGTGTCTCTGTGACGCACTCCTGTGCAGGTTTCCACAGCGTCCTGTCCGTGGGCTTCAGTCACTCAGCACTACTCTGCAGCCAGGCCGCCCCACTCACCCACACGTGAGCAGTGGAGCGAGATCTGGGGGACCCAGCTACCACCCTCTCTGGCCCGGCCCCTGCTGCAACCGCTGAATTCTGCGGGATCTCTTTCCGACAGAATAAGTCAGTTCCTGCAAAGCTCTGGTGTTGCTCAGCCCCATATTCCACGCAGGCTCCTGCAGGCTCCCCTCAAAACGACATCTTCTCACCATGAGGAGACTCAGGGACTTATTATGCCTACCGAGAACTGCGCTCGGTGTTGCAAAAGATCAATATGGGGGAAATTACAAACAAAAAATTCCTGATCGCCAAGAAATGAATGCCGTGTATCTCGTCCCAGCCTCCTGTTAGTCTGTCTACAGAGACAAGGCATGCTGCACAGGGGCCGTCGGCCGCAGCCCCGGTGACCGTAGATGGCACACACACACACCATTCTTCTTCCCTCCCAGGGAAAGACATCCTTGGACTGACTGGATCTAGAGCACAAAGTCAACTTAAAAATGCATATACATGAAATTATGTAAGAATACATGAACAAGAACCGTAGCCACTGAGAGAAGAAACTTCTGTCAACGTCAAGAGAAGGAGGTGGTAGAAATGGAGGGGTAGAAGGGTGCGCTCCCCAACCCTATTCATGGAACTGTCGGTGTTTGGTGAATGGTCATTGCCATGGGCCACGGTCACAGGGACCTTCCTAACCGTTACTTGAACAGCTTTCCATTTCCTTAGAATGGCACTCACACAGGACACTGCTCTGCACTGGACTCGGAAACTAACATGTCCAGGGAATCCAGCGATTGGGGTGGAAATCGCCTTCCCCATTCCATAGGTGAGGAGACGGATCCTGGGAGGCGAATGAACTTGACCCAGCCATCACCTGGCAGCTTAGTGGTCGCTCCAAGATAAGACCAGGGCTAAGCAACTGGCCCAAGGCACCAGGGAGCCACATTCTATTCTATGTCATCCCTTTTCCTTCCAGGCTCCTAATGCTAAATCTTGGCCATCCTTCCCAGTGGAAGAGAGCTGTGGATGGCATTTTGTTAGGACTCTCTCCAAGGCAGAGTCCCAGGCTAGAAAAAGCCATCAGACGAACCATATGTGAAAGGCAGGCGGGCTGCTATTAGCAGGAACAATACAATGCTGGTGCCACAAATGTCTCATTTCAATGATTCACTCACAAAAGCTCATGACCTTCAGCAGTGTAAGCCAAACCAAACCTGCGACAAAAGGGCCAGCCTTCCAGGTGGAGAAGGCCTTGCCTGCCCATCAGGCGGCCGGTGAACTGGCATTTGAGAAGACTGAGCCAACGATCGCTACACCCAGCACTGAGCCAGCAGGTCCCAAGCAAGGATGTTTACGGTCCCCAAGAGTCTACCCAGCATCTGCCAAAGACTATGGACTCCTGTCACTCCCTGGCTTCTCACTGCCCATGCTGCATGGCCTGCGGACCCCAAGGGGGCACAATGAGTCAACAGGTCCTTCTGCTCTAAGGTGGCTGTTGGTACAATGGTGGACCTGCAATGTGTTCCTCCTGCACCATGTGAGGGTGCAGCCTGGAGAGTCTGACAAGACCCACACCTTCCCCAAGCTGGACTTTCCATGGGTCTAACAAAAATCAAATTAAGAAAAGCACTGGGCCTGGCATAGTAGCCTAGCGGCTAAAGTCCTCACCTTAAATGCGCTGGGATCACATATGGATGCCAGTTCCAATTCTAGTGACCCCACTTCCCATTCATCTCCCTGCTTGTGGCCTGGGAAAGCAGTGGAGGACGGCCCAAAGCTTTGGGACCCTGCACCCATATGGGAGTCTTGGAAGACTGTCCTGGCTTCAAATCAGCTCAGATCTGGCTATTGAGACCACTTAGGGAGTCAAACATCAAATGGAAGATCTGCCTCTGTCCCTCTTCTCTGTATATCTGACTTTGCAATAAAAATAAATAAATCTTCTTTTAAAAATAAATCTTTTTTAAAAAGAAACAAAAAGAAAAGCACTTTTCCTTTCCATACCCATCTGCCAAGCCTGAACTGGTGTATCTAAGACAGAACAATACAGCACGGACGAACTCCGAAGGCATGCTAAGCAAAAGCAGCCCCAGTGAGGAGGACC